ACTGTGATGTGTTGACACAACCTTGATTGCTGAAAGTGAGGAGGAATTGAAGCACTTGCTGATGAAGGTCAAGGCTTGTAGCCTCCAGTATGGATTATGACTCCATGTGAACAAAGCCAACACCCTCACAAATGGACCAATAGGTAACTTCATGATAAGTAGAGAAAAGGTTAAAGTTGTCAAGGATTTTTATCTTGCTTGGATCCACAATCAGTGATCATGGAAGCAGTGGTCAACAGATCAAAAGTTGTATTTCATTGGGTAATCTTGGGCAGAAGACCTTTTTAAAGTATTGAAGAGCAAGGATGTTACTTTGAGGACTAAGGTGGCCTCACCCAAGCTACGCCAGTCTCCATTGCATCATTTGCATGTGAACCTTAGACATTGAATAAGGAAGACCTTAGAAACAAAGATGCATTTGAATTGTGGTGCTGGGGAAGAATATTGAGAGTACCGTGACTGCTAAAAAGAGAGACTGATCCCTTGTTGATCTATCAACAACATTCAACTAGATGCACCTATAATCTTCACCCCCTACGAATGCCACTGTGAAATGCCAGCTTGGGTCTGACCCTGATGAGAAATCCTCAGGACTTTTGAACAGAGGTTAGAAAAATGTTTGTCAACTTCTTTCACAACTTTCTTATTTCTATTTGAGAAGTACTTAAACTTGTGTTGTGCCAGTAAAGCCGATAGAAAAAAATGATTCTTGTCTCCAGAGATAAAGATATAAAGGCTGCCACCCAAGCACATATTTTGTGCTTGAGAAATTATTTATCTCCCTGCAATCTTCTTTGACAAAGATGTAATTGCTTCAGTAATATGAAAGCTGAAAGAAGGTATTTGGCACACAAATCTCTGCAATGCATTCATTTTGAAGATAAGCAAAACTGCTGCTGAATAGGAAATGATATCCAAAATGTGGCTTACTTTGAAATCATATCCTAAGTCCTGGAGATCAGGTTGTACAGGATTTAGAACATCTGCATTTCCTATTGTTTATCTGCAAAACCAAGACTTTAGACTCTCACTAAAGAACAATGGGAAAAAAGCATGGTTTTAAAAGTCCTTAAACAGGATTGTAGAATGAAATAGAAGGAGAAACTTTCCTCAAAGTGTGTCTTTTGAAATTGTTTAAATATACAAAAAGTGGGATCAGGAACATAGGATAAGAGAAGCCACTGAGCAAAGTAATAAAAGATATTCAGACGGTGGCAGGATGGGACCTGACAATTTATAGCATGACAAGAAGTAATGTCAGCTTCTGTGTCAAGATTCATGTGAATTTGCCAAAGCACTTTGGGTCAGCACAATAAAATAGTATGTGATTGTAATAAAGACTTCACTGAAAGAAAACCACTGCACAATGAAAGCATGCACATGTGTAGCCTTCTTTTATAGTAACAGGAATATAAGTGTCTGACAGATATTTTTCTATTATTCTATATTTTTCTAATAATGATCAAAAAACATTCTCAGATAGATGTATGACCACTTTCCACTAGAAAAAGAATGATCTCAGAGAATAGTTATAAGCCCCCCAATGACTACAGTCAAACCTTTGAGAGGACAGGGAAATTTTTACTTAGAGTTCTGACACCACAGTGTTGTTCTCTAGCATTTTCAGCAGATTAGACTGAATTCTTACTGGTGGCAAAGGCTTTATTTCAAAGTCTCTATATTTTTATAGTTAGCTGTTTTTGTTTTTTCCTAATTCTGCACAAAAAGTGCTTGAACTAGTGTGTGTCGTTTATTATGCCATTTCGTTTGGTGTGTGTTTGTGCTCCTTTGTTTATGATTTAGCAATGTCAGAGCTAGGAGCCTATTGTTCCTCGTATGGAGTGGAGTCTAAAATAAACTGCACCTCCTGATGTATGCCAGTCAAATATTGCGTACATCTTTGAAAAAATAGTAGGAAATGTCACTGAATGGAAAAGCAGATGGAAAAGTAGTTTTAAGCAGCAGTACTAAGACCTTCAAGAACTTTCCTTCCGACCTGTACATATCTTAAAAGTCAGAGCGTGCCTTTCAAATACCATGTTTCCGAACGTATTTCTTATATAATCATTGAAATAAAGTTTGGTTCTTGGAACAAAAGGAAAATATAATAAAGTGTGAGCTCTATTTTATTTGTGACTTCATAAGGGAGAAAAAAAAAAACCCAAATAACAACAATAAGTGACATTTGGTGAATTTATGTGCCACACACAGTGCTAAACATTTAATATCCAATATTCTACTAAAACTAACTGAAAAATCTATGCAGTATGGATTATGGCAGATGTAGTTAGGTTGAAATATCACACCTTAAATTTGATCTCCCATTTGACTCATTTTAAATTTGTTCTAGTTTTTATGATTTTCTGGTTTTCGATTGAGGTTTTTCTCTGATTTATTTTGTCACTGTTGTTGGGTTTTATTGTTTTGAGTCTTTCTTGTTTGCTTCTTTATTTCTTGCCTGGTTTTCTGTATATGAAATCCAGGATAAGTAAATATACAGAGAGAGTAACTGGATCAATAATTTCCTATGGGCTTGCCATGGGAAGTTGGTGGGAAATGGGGAGCTAACCATGAGTGCAGAAAAAAGAAAATGTTCTAAAGTTGATTGTGGTGATGACTACGCAACTCTTCTTCATATGATTAAATGATTGAATTGTATGATATGTGAATTATAGTTCAATAAAGCTATTTTTAAAAAACCTATGCAGTAAATACACTTATCTGATATTACAGATGCGGGGACTGGGGACTACAGAAAGGTGAAAAAACTTGCCAAAGTACAAATAGACAAATATATCAATTTTTAAATGCGCTACGCAAAAGAGTGACTTAGACATTCTTTTTATCACTATCAAAAGATTGACCATTCTTTGTGATCATTATGCTAGATGGACAATTTAAATCCCCAGAAACAATCTAAATCCCCAAAAATGGCCTAGCTCATCTAAGAATAAAGACCTTCACCGTGTGTCTGAACAGATTTGCCTGTGATTGGTAACGTATGGATGCCATTTGATGCAAGTAGAGTAATCAAAAAACGTCATCTTTTTATCTCGCTTTGTTTGTCTTCGCTGCCGGAGCATTTCATTTCCAAAATAAGGTAGAAGGAAGTTAGCACCTGACAGATGCGTTGTGATGCTTTGCACAATGGAACTTGCAACACTGAAGATTTATGATCCCTTTGTCTTCACACAGAACCCAGCACTGCTCCCACCGACGTCAAGGCCATCAGTCTGTCTATGTCAGAGATTCTTGTTGCATGGAAACATATGAAAGAGAGTTTGGGAAGACCACAGGGATTTGAGGTATGAATAGAATTCTTGAAAATTAGCCTTCTGATTTCGGCGGGCACTGCACTATCTTACAAAGAGAGTTTGGTGACAGGTCAACCAAATCATGTTTCTTGGGGAAAATGCTCTATATTAAAGAAAACATGAAATGGAAGTTGTCTACTGTTAGGTGTTATATAGCTTGTTAACTGGCTTATTTTTCAGGTAGCAGTTGTTATGATATCATTCAAATATATACAAGAAATGAAAACTAGACAAAGTCAGGAGTCATAGGTATATGTTTTCTGGTGTTAGTTCTTAGTGCTAAAATAATGCTTTTGTCTCTTTGTTTCTGATGAGTTAGTGCATAAATATAAATTTCCTTTTATTGTATAACAGGATTTATCCTCATGACTCAATTTCAAATATGTACAAAACTTTGTGGTGTCTCCATTTTGTAGAACTAAAATGACTTCTTTGTACCTTAGTTTTAACTTAATTATGCCATCCTTATAAGTGTGAAAACTTTATATCAAGTCAATGATTTCAGTGAGATTTCATGCTAGATGTGGACTAGAGTATTTGGGGTGCTCTTTGTGGCACGTGGACTAGAGTATTTGGGGTGCTCTTTGTGGAATGTGGACTAGAGGATTTGGGGTGCTCTTTGAGCTTGAATCTTCCATGTTAGCAAGAGCCCTACTCTATACAGCTTTTGTTTTTGTCTTGCTTAGACAATCTGGAAGCCAACAAAGTGATCTATGTCTAATTATATTCTATGTCTAATTATATTCAACAAGGGTGCCAAGACCGTGTAATGTAGAAACAATAGTCCCAAGATCACTGGATACCCAAATTAAAAAGAATGTGTTTGAAAACCTACATTACATTATGAATGAAAATTAACCCACAATGAACTAGTCCTGCAGATAACTGCTATAAAACTATAAAAACCCAAGGAAGCCACATTGATATAGATCTGCACGACCTTGAATAAGACAATGCATGATATCTAATTTTATCTTATCAAAAATAAAACCTTCATGTACCAAAAAACATTGTCATTGAAAGCATCGTTTCATCGTTCATTGCAACACTATGAAAGCTGAGAATAATCCAAAAGTCCATCAGCAAGTGAATGGATTGGCACCATGAGGTTGTTGTTTCGGCTGATTACCATCAAGCCAGCTGCAACGCATGTTTACCTTATGTACAATAGAACGATAGTGCACCTTCTTCAGGATACCTGGCACGTTTGAGTCTCTGACTATTCTGTCAATATATGTCATTGGCTGTTTTCCTCATTCTCACTGACCCTCTACCAAATATCATATCCTTTTTATAAATTGGTTTTTCCTGTTGCTATATCTAAGTAAGCCAACATGTCATCATCCTGGCTTCTAAGAACTACTCAGGGTGGGTTTCATCTGAGATTGAATATCCTGCCCTTCTAGAAGTCCAGAGTATATTTTGTAGCCTTTGCCAACATCTCAGATTGAGCATATTGATTCTCCAGTCTTCATTTTTCACTGTCCAGATGTGACATGCATAGGAGGAGACTGAAAAAGCCATACATTGGGTCAGGCATATTTCAGTCCTCAGTGACATCTTTACTTTTTAAGTTTTGAAATAGATTCAATTTCTTGACTGTTGCTTTCATAGGTGTTGACTATTGATCCAAATAGGATGAGATTATTGACAACTTATATTGTCTTCATTTATCATAACATTACTTATCAGTCCAGTTGTGAACACTTTTATTTTCTTCATGTTAAGTTGAAATCCATTGTAAAAGCTATAATCTTCAATCTGCAAAATTTACTACCTCTAAATTTGTCATACTCTGGAAGTTATACAGCAGTGGTGTTTCAAGTCCCAGCTGAGTAAACCATGATAGACACAGTTCTTTAGAGCTTCCAGAGAGGATAGACTTAGGAAGAAGGAGCTGGTGATCTCCTTTCAAACGCAACCAATGAAAACTATGGAATATTGATTGCTCTACCATAAAGAGAAATGAAATTCTGATTCAACATGCAAAAGCTTGAAAACATTGTCCTGAATGAGATGTCAATCATAAAAGAACAATTATAGTATTTTATGACCCCACTTATATGGAAATATCTAGTATAGATAAATGCATAGAGATAAAGGGTCTAAGGGATGAGAGAGAAAAAGGGAACTCATTGCATAAGAGACACTAAGTGTTCAAAGTGACGGGAAATAATGGAAATGGGCAGCGGTGATAGGTACACACCATGAAGGCTATAACCAATGTCATTGAATTATACATGTAAAAATGCTAAAATGATAAATGTTTCTTTATATATTTGTTGTAATTGGGTGCTTTTGAGTTGATCAGCGCTCATAGCAACCCCATGTGACTGAGTAAACCTGCCACATAGGGTTTTCTGAACAGCCATCTTTACAGAAACACATAGGAACCATTTCTTCCATGGACCCGAGTGAGTTCAAACCTCTGACTGTTTGATTATCAGTTGAGTGCTTAACCATTTATGCCACCAAAGCACTCTAACACACACACACACACACACACACACACACACAGCAGTAGCACATTTTTAAAGCAAACTATCAAGAGAGTGAAAAGATAGCCCATAGAATAGGAGAAAACCTTTCCAAGCCACCTATCCAATAAGAGGCTAATATCTAGACTGTGGAAAAAACTCTTACATGTCAACGTTAAAAAGGCAAATAACCAAATGAACACATGACAAGGGATTTAAATGGACATTTTTTTCTAACGTCGACATGCAAATGGCCAGTGAGCACATGAGACGATGATCAACAGTATTAGTCCTAGGGAGATTCAAACAGAATCCACCCAGAATGTTCACTCCACACCCCCTAGGATGGCTATCATGAAGAACAACCCCAACGAGAGAAAAAGAGTGAGTGGTGCAGAATATGGGAAGAAATAGAAGCTGTCACACATTACTGGTAAATATATAAACTGGTGCAGTGTGTCAGTCACCAAAAAAGTCAAACATAGGACTTCTACCTGAACTAATAATGCCACCACTATAGTAGATGTTCGTATAAAAACTGGTGCATACATGATAGTACCATGATTATTCATAATAAGCACAAATTATAAACAGCTCCAATATTCATTAAACAATGTGTGATAATACAAAATGTGGTATCAGAAAAGGTTAAAAGTCAGACTCAACATTGAGCATATTTCATATCTGCCAAGGGTGAAAATAAGTAAGGCCTAATTAAGCACTGCATTCAAATATTTTAATCTCATACAAAAGACATTATAAAAGTCAAATTGAAATTTTATATGAGAAATCCTGATTCATGGTAGGAATAACTCAGCATAAACAATAGGGTCAGAATGATCATAGTCCCTGGCTCAGCAGATCATCATAATGGTAAGATGCAAGAGAACATTTGAACTTCATCCCTTTAAACTTCTAAGAGGATCCACTCATGGATGTTTCTAAATGTGACAATTTGGCTTTATGAGCACAACCTGATCAAAGGGGGAACGTGGTGTTTCCTTCATGATACAGTTCAACAAACTCTGTGAGTCTAGGACCCCTGACAAAGAATGGCCACCTGAAGAAATAATCAACAATAAAATCTGGTATGTAGACCTCAGTCCGACTAATTTCACTTGACTAATGCTTGAACAGTTTTGTTGACATTCTCTGAGAGATATTCTCTTTGAGAATTGTGGTCACTTACAAGGAGTTTGCTTAACATGTCCTGCCTGTAGAGATTGAGTGAAGAAAACAGTACCTTCGAGATGTGTGGGATTCCGAGCTTATGATATGCAGCATGATGGAAAATTGAAACCGGGAGATATTTATTGCATGACTTCGGTTCATGAATAACCATGACTGTCCCATCTGGATTGCCATCCCTGTCGTGGTCCCATGCAAGTAAATCATTAGTTCCGTTTTGAATTTATGAGCCTGCCAGAATTAAGGGTCCTGTAAACGGCAATGCCTGTGTCCTGATGCAGAGCTCCTCAGACTCCTCGGCGCTTACGAGGCTATTTATGTTCATGGAAAATCCGAGCAGACACCGCTCTGTAAGAATGGTGAGGAAAGAGGGGCAATGACAAAATCCATACTCAACTGATTTCTCCACCTAAGAAGAACGATGGGGGAAACTGCAGGATAATGAAGCCTTGAATGGTTCGTTTATTCATTCACTCATCAAACATTTGTTAAGGAGCAGGCACAGTGCTAGACTCCAGAAATAGAGAAATGAAGGAAGAAGACCTAGTTTCTGCCCTTTAAAAGCTCACAAACTGGTGTGAAAAGAGGTTTGTGAGAAATTTCACTAAATAAAAGAGAGTGAAGGACATTGGGAAAATTCTTCTGTCCATAACAACCCTAGGATTCTGATGAGTGGGAATTAATACATGCCAATGCCTCTTTTAATGTAACTTTCTGTTTGAAGGCCTTTGTCTTTTTCCTGTCCCTAAAATGACCTCAATTTTCCTAAATAAAATAATAAATAATGGAAATAGCCATTTAGTTAATAAAAGAAAAGAAAAATGTTTCTCAAGGCATAACTTTTTGGAAAAACATTTTGTTGTATATTCATTCTTAGAGAAAAAAAGCTCAAAGGCCAAATCCATGAGCCTCCATTCCGACTCGGGGCAATCCTGTAGGGTAGAGTCCAACTGCCCCATGGGGTTTCTGAGGCTGGAAACCTTATGGAAACAGCCAGCACAGCTTTCTCTCTGGCATCTTTTGATTAGCAGTAGCACACTTTAACTACAGCACTGCCAAGCCCTCTGTCGAACAAAGTGCCCGATTGGTGTCAAGTTGGTGGTGCTTGAAATTATTCTGGCTGGTATGCCAGGGTATTATTAATTGTATTTCCATCTGTTTAATGGCGGGAGTCCTTTCAATAATAAGAAACAGTGCATCTTTATAGCCTCTTGACAAGTACAGAGTGCCCTAGTTCTAATTCTGAACTTTTTTGTGCTTACTACTAAGAGGGAATGAAAGTCAAAAGTACTTGTCCCACTTTACATTTCTCACTAAGAAGTTCCC